AAAGCACTTGAGCAAGAAAAGAGAGAGGGAAAGCAAGTAGCAACTTCTAGAAGAGTTGAGAGTGATGAAGACAGTGGAGAAGAGCCAGCTCCAACCAAAAAAGCAAGGAAGTCCACTGAGGAGGGAGGAAAACCTTACGCCGATAGAGAAAAATACCAGAAACCAACCCCAGCTGTGTTCTTAGACTTCCTAAAGCAAGGTGTGAGCTGGCCGGCTACAAGGTTTGGAGATACGGAACTGATGAGGGAGATTGGTATTGATGATGATGTCAAGGTTATGCTAAGCAACATGAACATGTCTAGCTTCTATTCCTTTGCTCATCCCACCTACAAGGAGTTGTCTTGTGAGTTCTTGTCCTCATTGGTGGTAACTTATCATGAAACTCAGCATGTTAGGCAAGGATGGGGAAAGATAACGTTCAAGGTTAAAGGAAGAGTTCAGAACGTTATTTTCAAGGATATTGGGAGGTTATATGGATTTACAGATGCTCAATACTACCATCTCCCTAGGCTTACTAATATCTCCAGAGACAGCAACATTCCAGCGAGGGTTTGGAGAGCCATCACCGGAACACCTCACGTCACGGGGAAAGACAAGAACTCAGGCATCAGAAACCCAGCGATACGATACTTTCACAGGATGCTGGTGCACGCATTCTTCCCCCGTAAGGAGCCCGGCTCAGTAACTGAAGATGAACTGCGACTTCTTTGTCTAGCTCTAGCACGCTTTGCACCAGATAAGATTCCATTTGATGTCAGTGAGTTGTACAAGGACTTTGGAATGGTTGGATTCTTCATATCACGCCTTGAGTACTATAGGGATTGGGCTTGGCCAACAGAGGATTCAGAGCCTCAGATTGGGATTGGAGGCATGATCACTCCTCTACTCCAGCACGTCGGTGTTAAGTTGGATTCTAATTGCATTGGTCCCACCTTCCTCGATGGAACTCACATGAAGATTGCTCAATTTTTCAGTGGAAGATACGATGGAGACTGTGTCTACACATACAAGAAGCTGGGTAGAAATGTTGAAGTGATCCTCCCCAATAGGAACATCACAGATCTCAACCTTTCAGGAGCAGTTGCCTTTAATATTGGAGAGGAGCATGTAATCGGGCCTCATGGAACACTAGGCCCCATGGTAGTAAGCAGAAGGAGAAGGGGTAATTCATCTATTCAGTCAGTAAGAACCAACAACCAGAGAGGCAGGAGAACACTGATGAAGCAATCTACGGGCCACCTCGCTACTACTTCAAGCCTTATGCAGAAGCTCTAGCCCCAAGACCTCTCTGCGATGCTCATGAGCACATTGATAAGCTCCAGCGATGGAACAAAGCTCAAGATCGCGACTTCTACAAGCCTAAGACGAAGTATAAGGAGCTGAAGAAGACGATGAAGAAGACACTGAAGAAGATGGCTGATGTTTTGGTAAGAGGAGGTGTAGCAGGATGTAGCTCCAGTGACTTTGCAATGGCCAGCACATCAGCTCCTCGGCCTCAGCGTGACAGCCAGCAAGAGCGTGCTAAGCGCAACTTTGTGGCCCTTCCATCAGAATCAGGGAACAAATCTCCATCCTTGACATCCTCCGATGATGATTCTGGTGACAATGTGAGTAGCACACCAATGGATCAGTCCGGTGCACCATACGGCTACTACAATGCAGCCTACAATCCCTATGGTCCTCCTTATGGCTACAGCGCCCCACAGCCAGGCTACTACATCACATACCCTGATCCAGACGAGTCTGACTCACCCGGGGGAGATACTCCTTCCAACCCCGACAACTAGCGAGGTACTCCATCCCTTTCCATTGTATATACCGCTTTCATTTCCTGCATTTTATTTCCATTCTCAGTATCTCTCTCTACTTAACAACACAGAGACTATGTGACTTAAGTTTGGGGGAGGTACCAAGCATTTAATCATGTTTTCTTTGTTGATTTTGAGTCTCATGCATTGCATTGTACATATAAAAAAAATATAGTAAAAAATAAAATAAAAAACTGAAAAATCAAAACAAAAACAAAAATCATGTAGGTCGCATCATTTGCATTTTTAGAAGAGTCTAGAGCATATAGTTTGCATTCACTTGCATTGGGAACAATGATTTTAAAACACCTTGTAATGAACACTTGTCAAGAGCTCAAAGTGACACCCTAGTTAGACACATCAAGTAGCTTAACACCTCTTGAAAACCTTGCACGCTTCGAGCCTTGAAAACTCTTCTTGAAACATGTTTGCTTGCTTTAAATCGACATTGCTCTTAAAACCAGCTCCAATCTGAATTTTGGCTTAATGAACTTAATCTCTCTTGTATATGGGCACTTGCATACTTGATCATGGATCTCATACACATTTGGGTTATCTTATTCCATTTTCACCACTCTTTTGTTAACCCAAATGGTACTCCACACCCTCGAATTGAACCCAAGCCATTATTTTGAGACCAAACATATAATTTGCATGAGTGAGGCCTTCTTTTGATAGCTTGTCATGTGCAAAATCTTGAGAGTATTGGAGGCGACATAGGTTTGTTCTCATCTCTTGCTAGCATGGAATCTCTTTTGAGCTGGCATCTAGGATGGTGAATGGGGTTTATGTATTTCAAAGCTGATATTTTGGGTTGTAAATGAGAGATTATGAGAAAGTTGAACCAAAGTGTACCTTAAGAAAAGGAAAGAAAGCCACTAGGAACCAAACCGAATGAAGAAGAGCTCTAGATTATGTATTAAGTGACCTTCCCATAAAAAAAAAAGAGGAAACAAAGAAATAAGTTTGGGGGAGAAGATGTGTAAAGAAAAAGAGTTAAAGCTACCAAATAGAAAGTTTTTGACAAGTCCCTAGTTGGTTGTGTTAATAAAAAAAAAAAAAAGAGAGAGAGAAGAGAAGTGCAAGTTCATGGGGAGAGTGATGTGAGAAGAGACTATTGGGGTATGAGATGAAGAATGAAAGGGGTAGACATTGTGATCACTTAGGAAAGGGTAGAATGATGAGAATAAGACTATGTATGCATCAGTTGCCTCTAGTCTTAGATAAATTTTGCATATTGATCAAGCTCCTTATTCCTGAGTGATAGTCATTAAAAATGATACATCTGAACCCTCCTTTTCAATCTCGTTAGACATGTTACTTGCCTAGCCAAATGATTGAGATCATGTGCCCATTTGTAAGACTTCACTTTGTGTGTGTGTGTGTGTGAACTAATGTGAGGGCTGGTTTAAAGACTTGTAAATTGAAGAGTATTGCATCTTGTTTAAAGGCATAAGAGTGTGTTGACAGGCCTAGAGAAGCTAGAGTATGATAAGAGAGTGTGTTCATGCTATTTGGAATGTCTCCTTAGGATGTTAAGTTGAGTTTTTAGATGTGTTTTCTCTCGGTTATGAGTTCCCACCTTCAAACTTCTCTTCCCATAAGTCCTTGAAAGTTCACTTGAGGACAAGTAAAGGACAAGTTTGGGGGAGTTGATATGTTGCATATTTACTTAGTTTTAACCTTGCATTCTTACTTATGTTGAGCATATAGATTAGATTTAGGCACCTCTAGGTTGCATATTGCATACATTTGTCTTTATCAGGTCATGGAACATGCTATGGAGTCTCTGGAGGTGTTTGGGGTCGATTACATGTCAAAAGAAGGTGCAAAGGTGTCAATTGGCGAGCTGGAGCAACCACAGCGGAGTCAAGAGGTCGCTGCAAGGAGAACCAGCCGGAGCGGGGACGTGCAGCGGGTCCGGGGGGTCGCTCCACGTCCACAGCAGAGGTTCGGCAGCGGACGCAAGGGGGTCGCTCGCCTTTGCAGAAGAAAAGAGAGAGCTCATAGCGGGCCTTGGCAGCGGGGTCAGGACCCCGCTGTGAGCTCCGGAGCGGGGTCGTGCAGCAGTGTGGTGACCCCGCTGCGCGTATTCCATGTGACGACTCAAGCTTTAGGGACCTTTTTGCAATTTCGTTTTTAATATTCTGAGTTGGAAAAACTTAAGTTTAAATTATTCTGTAAGCCACCATTGGAGATCTATCTTTGTTCTTGAAGAAAATACTTGAAAATCTATTGGAAAGTTCATCTTTTAAGATCATTGATTTCATTGTTCATTGTTTTTGCTTATCTATTTCATCATCTACATGATTAAACTTGAATCTAGAATGGGTTTAAGAGTAATCATGATGTGTAGTGAGTAAATCACCCTTGAATCCATGGGTTAGGGAGACTAAGGATGATTAGTCTAGAATTAGAGTGTTTAGTTTAGATTTCTCTTATTCCTTGCTTAAAGAGTGATCCTAATGCTTCTCTTGAGTTGGCCACTCAAGGGTTGATCTTTAGACATTTCCCACTTACAAAGTGTTCGATGAAATGTCTGAGTCAACTCTTCTAAGCTTTTAACATCCTTTACCAAGGATACTTGTTGTTAAAGGTGTTAAGATGGCTAATTGACTTGTTCCTAATGATTGCTTTCATGATATTCAACCAAAGAATTTGATGTTTGAATTGTTTTTGCAAATGAACATTCATCTAGACATAGAGGTTGTTTAGAATTGTGTCTAGGCCTAAGGTAGATAGATTAATTGATCACTTGCCACTCTTAGTTCGAAAACTGATCATCCAAGGTCATTGTTCCCTACACCCATGAGTTCTCCCGTCTCTTAATTGTTAAAGTTTATTCAGTCATTGCATTCTTTACTTCATTTCGATATTAGTTGTAATTCAAAACCAATCAACCATACGATTGCACTTAGATTAAGCTAGTACTTGTATTCTCAGTGATTTTAAATCTCTCAGAACTGGTTCGACAATCTTTTATACTACATCATTTGTCTTATGAGCCTTGAAAACTCCTAATATCAGTATCTCATAGATTGTAATGTTTCTCAAATAATATATAAGGGAACACCAATTACCACATTGATACAACACCAATTACCGTAAGAGAAATAAAGAGAAAGTTATATTAATTATGAAACAAACAAAGTAATAAAGAAGAAGAACTGAAGACTAGGTCTAGCATAGAATTCAAAGCTTTAGTAAAATAATGTCACGCGCACAATCTTTTGAACACGCTGTCAGGTTATCTCTTGCAAATCTTTTTCCTTGACAGTGCTTCTTACAGTAATGGCAAATTGGCCGAGAAGTATTACTTTTGGCAAGAATTTGAAACTCCTTCCCGCGTCCTATGAGAACTTGGCCAGGTTTCAGATATGGATCTTGGCTGAATAAGCAGTCAGTATGAAGGATGGTGCAGCAATCATTGCACCAATAAAAAATTTTGTCGACTATATCTTCGCACTCTTCGCACCAATATTTCTCGGTACACCTCTCTTTCCCCCATGAAAATGTGAGAAAATGTTTGTCGTTCTTATATCTTACTTTGTATGGTAAGGTGGCACACCTCATACACACACTAAAAGTACATTTTATGCAATTTAACTGACTAAGTCTATATTTGCTCCACATACAGCATACCTCGCAAAATTCATCTTCTTTTGAGTGTAAAGATAGGAACAAGGGATGCTCATGACCTTGGTAATCAAACGGCTCTGAAATTAAAGCACACCTCAAGTCGAGATTGAATTTACATTCCTGTTTCGGACACTCATAAACGAAGTCACCACATTTACGAAAACAAGCTCTGCACCCCCAGGAGTACAGTGAAACATACTTGTTGTTAGCCTTCAATGTAAGTGGATGAGGATGTAACGCATGTTGTATTCTGCGATGAGATTTTAGGCATGTTTCATGGAGGATGAAGTCACACTCCGCACATGAATAGAATTCATCTTCAAAGATAGGCATGACACACGCTTCACATAACTTGTTTTCATCATAGAGTATGTTTTTCTCAAGTCGCAGATGATGGTCATGAAGAAAATAACGGACCACTCCTTCAGATATTTCGCAGAACGGTGGTGCATCTTGTGCTATGTCATCTTTTTCGGGTACACCTTTGAGTTCTTCTCCATCCCACACATCTTTTCCTAGAGCGCATTTCGAGTGAACAGCATAGTAGTCACCACATTCCTTACATGTATATGCACCATAATTACCGTCAATACTTTGACGGCAAACTCCACATGGCCACTTTTCATATCGAAGATAAGAAACACGGGAGATACGATGGTGGTGACGTGATATCCTGATGGTGTGTGGAGACTCTACACATCCTTGATGGTGTGTGGAGACTCTACACATCCTCTGTGAACTACAAAGTTGCGTCTGAGACAGACATAGATGGGATATTTTTCTAGCAAACCACATACGTTGCAGACTAATGAATTTTGTCTAGGGAAAAAGGTAAGGGGATGATCATGTATTTTTTGTTGGTCTATAACAATGGGTATCGGCTTCATTGCACATATTGGATGCATGAAAGTTTGATAGACAGTACAATGATATATCAAACCAAAGGCCTTGCAGTTTCTTCCACAACCGATACAATCAGCACAATCAAAAATATAATAGAGTTCGAGAGAAGAATGATGAGGATAGTAAGGGTGTTTAATTTTAAGTGGAGACTCTACACATTCTTTGTGATACTTCTGTAAACAGCGAGTACAAAAGTAATAATCTGTGCCAAAGTTTGAGCCATAGCATGTACCGCATTCAGAGACGAAATTTTTATTGTTGCACCAATACAGAGGAAGTACATGATGATCATCAACGTTACTAGAGAGGACAGAGTCAGGAGAAGACTTGATCAAGAAAGGACTGAAATCACTAGAACAGTCTTTTCGCCGCCGTACCGAAGGGCATAAGAAAAGAGGTTGAGGAGGGTGATCGTAGTTGGCTACTTCAATAGATGAGGATGGACTTTCAATTTGTGGTATAGGTTGGTATTTTGGGTGGTAGTATACCAGGAATAGTTTACCATCTTTTTCGACCTCATGAAATCCACCATCATAATCCATGACTCCCTCTTGTGTGTTTTTTTTAATACTATGTTTGTGTTAACAAGCTTTAGAAGTTAGTTGATCTACAGATATAAAACTATTAACAATTTTGTACCTTAAATAAAGAAATTTGAAAGTCACAATCTACTTTAGATCCTTAACGTGAAAACAGAGTGGATTTTGTTCTTTTCTTTGTTGTTGTAGTAGTGTTATTTTAAAGCCAAATAAAATACGAATCAGTTTTTTCTTTGCACATGGTTTTCTTCATCTCCTCTCTGATACTATACAACTCTTAAAGCGTCTAATTTTTGAAAATAATTAGTAGTGCTCATGATTTNGATCCTTAACGTGAAAACAGAGTGGATTTTGTTCTTTTCTTTGTTGTTGTAGTAGTGTTATTTTAAAGCCAAATAAAATACGAATCAGTTTTTTCTTTGCACATGGTTTTCTTCATCTCCTCTCTGATACTATACAACTCTTAAAGCGTCTAATTTTTGAAAATAATTAGTAGTGCTCATGATTTAAGAGGTTCACTAGTTCCTGCCAAAACGCGTTTTCCCGCCAAAACGCTTTTTTCGCAAGAACGCGTTTTACGCCAAAACGCTTTTTTCGCAAGAACGCGTTTTACGCCAAAACGCTTTTTTCGCAAGAACGCGTTTTACGCCAAAACGCGTTTTTCCACCAAAACGCGTTTTTCCGGGAAAACGGGAAAAACGTATTTACCCGCCAAAAACGCGTTTTCCTGCCAAAACGCGTTTTCCCGCCAAAACGCGTTTTCCCGCCAAAACGTGTTTTTCCGCAAAAACGCGTTTTCCCGCCAAAACGCGTTTTTTGCTAAAACCGAAAAAATTAGTTTTCCTGCCAAAACCGTAAAAATACATTTTTCTGCCAAAATCGCAAAAACACGTTTTCCCGAAAATCACATTTTCCTACAAAAACGTATTTTTCCGCTAAAATCGCAAAAACGTGTTTCCCGGGATAACCGCAAAACACGCATTTTCCAACTAAAACCCGTTTTTCCCCTAAATCCGCAAAACTCATTTCCGCGTCAAAATTATAAAAATATATTTAAAATTAATATCATACATATGACTAAATTAAAACAAGGGCATTTTAGTAATTTTTTTACTAAACTCATCTAGATGGAGAAGAAAAACAGAGAAACAAACATGAGTCCATCTAGATGATCCATCGAGATGGACCATCTTGATGGACAAACAAACAATCTCAAAAATGTGGATGGACCATCTAGATGAATCATCTAGATGGATTAGCTGCATGGAGATGATAGATGGTGAAACAAACAGCACCACAATCTACTTTAGATCCTTAACGTGAAAACAGAGTGGATTTTGTTCTTTTCTTTGTTGTTGTAGTAGTGTTATTTTAAAGCCAAATAAAATACGAATCAGTTTTTTCTTTGCACATGGTTTTCTTCATCTCCTCTCTGATACTATACAACTCTTAAAGCGTCTAATTTTTGAAAATAATTAGTAGTGCTCATGATTTNGATCCTTAACGTGAAAACAGAGTGGATTTTGTTCTTTTCTTTGTTGTTGTAGTAGTGTTATTTTAAAGCCAAATAAAATACGAATCAGTTTTTTCTTTGCACATGGTTTTCTTCATCTCCTCTCTGATACTATACAACTCTTAAAGCGTCTAATTTTTGAAAATAATTAGTAGTGCTCATGATTTAAGAGGTTCACTAGATTTTGATTTGCATTTTTGGAACGCGAATTTATTTTTGGAACAAACCAAATTTATTTGATAAATTTGTTTTTTTAGTTGTGTATTTACATTTGAAATGTATTCTAGCTTAAAAGTAGTTTACAAGAGCTACCAAATAAAAATCATAAAATGATCACCTCGGATGGCGTAGGTTTAAACTCGAAAGCTGGTCTGATTTTGGATGTGATGGAATTCTACTTGTTATATAATTGAAAGAACCATCAACTACTGTGAGGCGTTTGTTAACTTGGAGAAATCTAATAGGAGAAACTATAGGTTTTGTCTACAATTGAGGAATAGAGCAGAATTGAGAATTTATGTGTGTTTTTAGTATTTTGTTGAGATCACTAGTTTGATGTCAGGTTTTAACTACCTAATTTTGAACTTATATTTCTTTCAAGTTTTAAATATCCATGATTGGCTCCAAATTAATGAGGAAACCGGAGATGAAATTTTTGGACACATGGCGATTCAGATGAAAGAGAAGTTGATAAGTACTAAGAAGTTAGTGATGTTTTCTCAATGGTATCAGTCTTTGATCTGCGCCTAAAGCTTACACTTAGAGAATATTGTTTAAGGAAGCTTGGTATGAGTACATATGATGCAAAGGTGAAGAACTTTCGCTTTAAGATCGATACTTTGTTTGAATCATAAGGCAAATCAGAGTCCAACTCACGTTTTACGTAGCCTCATAATTAAAACAGTTCAACAAAATCGTTGTGATAAAGGACCAAATGAACTATAATGCAAGTGTTTCTTGTTTCTTAATTTGTTTTATAAACAGTTTGCATGATTTTCTGTATTTTGCAAGATTAGTGTTGTCGCTGTTGTTGCAAATAAAAACACAGTTCTCCAAGATTATCTTGATCAGAGCTTGGACGTTCACCAGTTCTAAAAAGAGATATGATGATTTGTCAGTAATGGTTTGTGATCTGTTGATTATTTCTATAACAACAGTAGCTTCAGAGTCTTCTTTTAGCATTAGATTACGAGTGCTGAACAAATAAAACATATGTGTACTTCCAATGAATATGCAAACTCTAACATGTAGTAAGAATTGGTTAAAAGTATTTTGAATTTTATGAACGTGGATAAAACTTTTCTTACAAATAAGAACCAATAAATGACTAATCACAATCTCCGAGTATGCAGATAGGTTGAACGCAAGATTTGTATCCGTGTAACTGTCCATCAATAACGTAAATTAATTTCACACATACACTACAAGAAAACAGGCGGATACTGACGGATAAAATCGTCAGAAATTCGTCGGAATAGACATATTTTGACGAATTTCTGACGAAAATGGTCGTCGGTATCATTTCGTCGGAAAAAATAATTCGTCAGAGTTTCCGACAACTTTCTGACGAATACCAAGAAACCAGTAAAGATAGTGGTGTTCTGCTCCTCCAATGCCATAATCCGTTCATCTTTGTTCTGTAGCTGCTTCAGAATCATGGGATCGGTATACGGAGCTTGCAAAGAAGACGCCGAACACGAAGAAGAACGGCGAGCCAACCCAACTAAACGACCTTCTTTCCTTTTAGGAACCGCCTACAAAAATATTTAAAGTTAGTAAACTACATTAAAAAATAAATATACTAATTAAAAATTACCTTTTTGACCATATCATTTATTTGCAACCGGAACATGTTGGTTGAAGCTCCCGTAGAATCGCCGTCATCAGAGAGAGACTTTTTGAGTTTCCATCAACTCAAAGACATATCTGATCACTGGATCTTGAACTTGACCCGTCTTCTTGTTAGTGTGAGCCTCCTTAATGAGAGTGAGACGATCAACGGGATTACCGTCGTTTGCTTCAATCTAAAAAACAACCATTAGCCAAGGAATATATAAAAATATTTATTTAAATTAAAAATGATAAATAAAAAATAGAACTTACAAGTTGATCTTCCTTAGAAGACATAGAGCAAGCGCCAAGGTTGTGCACATACATACCTTGCCCGCCACGATTGTTCTTCCAGTTCTTGGAGTTCTTGCGAGACGTCATTGCAGTGTCGTCCTTCCCCCAATGAACTATCAACTGCTCCCACACCGTCTCCTTGATGAACCGTGGCCTCTTGTTCTTCTGTCATACTGTCTTCCACGTGTTGATCTGCTTCGTATAAGAGTCCATGACCTTTTCGTTGAATCTCTGACGGATTATTTTGCATTCCTACAAAACACACATAATTTAATAAGTAGATATATATATAAAAAAATTGAAAAATGCTTTAAAAAAACTGAAGAGTTACCGCAAACTAACGAAGCCACAACTCCCGGTCCTCGTGAGGGATCACACTCCACTTCGGATATCCGGTACGGAGCATGGAATATATCATATTGTTGATGCTCCTGCTAATGCCATTGCTCGACTTGTCAAACCTTTAAAAAATGCATGTTAGAAAGTTAATTAATGAAAAAAACATAATTCTACAGATAAAATAAAATACTAACCAAGTCGTATGTCCTGGTTGTGGGTTCGGATGAAGAACCGGGAGATGCTCTCGACCTGGTTGCTGAACCAATAGTTCAACTGACATGACCCCCGGATCCCGCTCAACAACTAAAGGGGGAACATATGGAGGGGGAGCGGGAACATATCCAGGAACCAAGTTTTGTTCGTGAGACGATCCCGATGCATGGGAATTGCTCACCGAACTACCTCGACCGCCACGGTATGGGGACGACGGTGCAATGAGGAACGGGTGGGTGCATCCTCGGACCTAGAAAAAATTATAATACATCAGAATTCTTTTCAAAGCTTTTCAAAAAAGATTATTAAAAATGATTTTTACATCTAAAAATGATTTATAAATATATGTATTTATAAAAAGTTATAAATATTTTTAAATATTTTTTTAAACATAGACCAGGTTGTTAAATATATAAAAATAATATACGTTTTTATCTACATAAAAAATAAAAAATTGTTTTTTCTATTAAAAATATTTATAAAACTTTTATTAAATATAGAAAAACAGTTTGTTAAATATATATATAAAAATTATATAAAAAACGTTTTATTATATATAATATATTAATGGAAACCCCCAAATACGTCTTTAAAAATAAAAAAAATGTTTTTAAAAATAAATAAAAAACGTTTTAGAAATACAAAAACACAATATAATTCCAAAATAAAATTAAAACAACAATCCAAACAAAAATCCTAGCTAATAGATCCTAAACTATCCATTCAATCCTAAAGTTTTCAATCAAACAACCTCAAATTCTAAGATGAATGAAAATTTAGTTACTTTATATTAAATATAAATTAACCATATGCATACGGTAATATGATATATGACTCACATATCTAAGAAGTCATACAGCAAATCCGTTATGTCTTAATTGTTGAAGCTTATCTTCTGTCGCATGCATGTGAGTCATACGCAACTCTGCCATATAAACACTATATAAAAAGATATTATCAATATGAAATAAAATTATTGAATATTAATCTATCAATTTAAATGAATAACTTTTTTTACCTCTCAAATTGTAGAACATCTTCACAGTTGGTGAGTTAATATGTTTGCAAATAAGCGTGCTCAGTCTCCGTAATTCTCCGTTTCGTGGGTTTCCACTAAGTCGTCCTATTTCTCTGAACATGCTTGGGACAGTAATATGATATGTTGTTCTCTCCCCTATGTCATCATGCCGAGCAGGTCTTCGTTTTTTGTATGCACTTCTGATGGAAAATAGTTTTCAGTAAAGATTGCAGTTTCTTCATTGATCACCTGCGCGACTATAGATCCTTCCACCCTGCTGTTATTTTTTACCATCTTCTTTAGATGATGCATATAACGCTCAAAAACATACATCCATCCATATTGCACAGGACCACCAAGTTCCAATTCTCTTGTGAGATGAATAACAAGATGTTCCACTACATCAAAGAATGTTGGAGGAAATATCTTCTCGAGGTTACATATGATGACTGGTATGTTTGCCTTCAAAGACAAAACTTTCTTAAGTATTAGGTTTATATATAAGCATAATTAATGTTAAATATGAAAATCAATTAAAGTGTAAAATATAAGATACTTGCAATTGCTTCATGAACATTACGTGGCAATAGTGCGGAAAAAGCAAACGGAAGGATATGCTGCATAATTACATGACAATCATGACTCTTCAAGCCAGTAAACTTTCCTTCGCTTCTATCAACGCAGTTCCGCAAATTTGATGCATAACCGTCTGGAAATTGCACTTTATCTCTAATCCAATCAATGAACTCTTCTTTTGCAGCACCATCCAGCCGATAAATGGGAAAAGGGCTGTACCGTTCTCATCAACGTGAAGTTCAGAACGATCACAGATATCGACTAAATCCAACCTTCATTTCAAACTATCCTTCGTTTTACCTTGGATGTTAAGGATTGTGTTCATCAGATTGTCGAAAAAATTCTTCTCGATATGCATGGCATCTAAATTATGCCGCAATAGATGATCCTTCCAATACGGCAGATCCCAGAAAATACTCTTTTCATGCCAGTTATGTAGCTCTCCAACCGCATCGACTCGAATGTTTTCATGTCCACCTACGTCTGGCGTCCTATCTGCACCAAAATCCCTCAACTGCTTCCACAAATCTTCCCACTAACTTCCTCAGGTGGACCATCTAACACATGCTTGTTCTTCATAAACAAAGTCTTACTCCTATTGTATTGATGATAAGGTGGTAGAAATCTTCTTTGATAGTCAAACCCACACGTTTTCCTTCTGTGCTTTAGTTGGAAAGCATCTGTGTCATCTTGACAATATGGACATGATAGCATCCCATGTGTTGTCCATCCGGATAACATACCGTTTGCTGGAAAGTCACTTTTTGTCCACATAAGTACTGCCCGCATATAAAAGTTTTCTTTGCACGAAACATCGTATGTCTCAAAACCATGCACCCATATTTGTTGCAACTCATGTATCAGTGGTTGGAGAAACACATCTAGTGATCTCTTAGGATGCTCTGGCCCGGGGACGAGAATTGAGAGGAACAAAAACTCTCGTTGCATGCACAAGTTTGGCGGTAAGTTGTACGATGTCACAATAACTGGCCATAAAGAATATTGTCTTCCATTCTTTCCAAATGGGCTTAAACCATCAGTACATAATCCAAGATAAACATTTCTTCTCTCTTCCGCAAATTCTGGATACGTTGACTGGAAATGTTTCCAAGCCTTTGCATCTGAAGGATGTCTAATCTCACCATTTTTGGAATGCTCTGCATGCCATCTCATTGCTTTTTCTGTGCGCTCACACTGATACAACCTCTTCAATCTTTCCGTTAAAGGCAAATACCACATCTTTTTGAACGGGATTGGAACTCTTCCTCTCGTCTCCTGATAACGAGGTTTCCTACAAAATTTGCATTTATCACGTTCCTTATACGCTCCCCAGTAGATCGTGCAGTTGTCAATACATACATTTATCACTTCGTACGGTAGTTGAAGACCCGCAACAAGTTTCTGAACCTCGTAGTATGAACCCAGTGCAAGATTATCCTTAGGTAGAATACTTTTGAGAAAATCAGTAATCGCATCCACACATTTTCAGCCAAATTATAGTTTGCCTTGATACCCATCAATCTAGTTTCAGAAGATAAGGGTGAATGACCATCTCTACAACCTTTATACAAAGGTTGTTTCTTGCATCCAACATGTCAAAAAATCTCCTAGATTCGGGATTTAGTTTTTTTTCCCCTCAATAATGATCATGTACCATATGCATAGTACATACACCATAATCTGTATCCGTTCTAGGTTCGTATAACCTAATATTAGGCTGAGGTTCGCTAACAGGCTGAGGTTCGCTAGTACTACCATATTCAAAACCAGTTTTCCCATGAAGATACCAAACTTTATAATTACGTGAAAACCCCCTCATATACAAATGAGTCCAAACATCAAATTCTCTTATAATCCTATTATTTTGCAAGTAGAGCAGTGACATCTTAACATACCAGTTTTTGCATCCGGTTACTGTTGAACAAGCTTCATGAATTCTCCAGTCCCTTGAACGTATTCTTCCGTAAGTAAATTGGTGTTGGGATCCATATTAGGTTTATCCATCTACGAACGATAATAAACTCCTGAAGACATGATTTTCAAGAAATTGTTGTACTTAGAGAGAGAGAGAGTAAAGAGAGAGTGAGGAGTGAATGAGTTGAATGAAGAGAGGTTGCATTTCTAGGAAATTGCTTACGGCAATCCGACGACATTCCAACGGAATTCCGACGCCATAACGGTAATATCCGTCAGAATTCCATCGGTATTTTTTACCTCAACGGATATAAAACGGTCATATGCATTTGTCGGCAACAGTCAAAAGGTTCGTCGGAAATTCGTCGGAATATACCGATGTCATTCCGGTTACATAATTAATCGAAATGTCGTCGGAAATTCGTCGGTATATTCCGACAAATTTCCGACGACTTCAACGATTTTATAATTAATTGGAATGTCGTCGGAAGTTTGTCAGTATATTCCAACGAACAACGTTTGGTCGGAAAGTTGTCGGTATATTAATGTGTATTTTTTGTTTTCGTCCGAATTTCGTCGAAAAACCATTGAAATTGTCCGACGACTTTTATGTCCATATGAACCTCCGTCAAAATATACCGTGTTTTCTTGTAGTAATAGGTGTATCAAAAATAAATACGTGTTGGCATCTGAAGTGCATATCTTAATGCAGAACATAAATGTATTTTATTTTAATTTTTAACATTATTCAAATAGTAAGATATCGTTTTTTCCTGTTAATCGGTTGTTTATAACCATAATTAGATACAGCAATTATTTATAACCGTATTTAGATACAATAAATTTATGTGGTGATATAAGAACGTGGTGCATGTCAAGTAGATAATTTATAACCATAATTTAGATAAAACAATCATTTAAATGACAGCAGAGAAATAGCGATAGGCCCACTTGGCCGATGAAGATTCCCACTTGACCCCCAAAGACTTGAGAGAGAGAGAAAAACAGAGACGAAAGATCATCGACCACGAAGCAATCGGCGATTTGTGAGGAGAGCAGAGTCGAGAAAATAGTCAATGTCTCCTCTCCCCCGTCTTGCTCACGACACGTACTCCTCAATGGTTCTCTCTCTCTCTACCAAAAGTGACAAATGTTCCATCTTTGCTTGTTATCTACGACTTCAATTCTTGACTTCTCGTCAACGTTTTCTATTGAAAGGATTGATTTTTATTTCTGGGTTTCACTAATTCGTACAAACCCATCTCGTCATTCCTCGATTCTTGATTGCTACATTGCGTTAGATCTGTTGAAAGACCAAATCTTTGTCCTTTAGTGTATTAAAGCTTGGTGTTTTGCGAATTACAGATGTTTTTTTAAACTCTTGAGGGTTCTTACAATCGTTTTGCTCTCTTTTACTTCTCATTGAAGTCTCAAGTTCGAAGCTTTAAAGCATCCATTCCTAAATGGGAAGATATCCTTACCCGAATCAGCCTCTGGTGGGAGCAAGCAAGGGCTGTGGTAGTTGTGCCTGTCTTCAAGTTCCTGGTGGTTCTATGTTTGGTCATGTCCGTGATGCTCTTCGTTGAGATGATGTACATGGGACTTGTGGTAGCGTATATCAAGTTGTTCAAGAGGAAACCAGAGAAAGTTTACAAATGGGAAGCTATGGAGGAGGAGGATGTTGAGTGTGGTAGTGAAAGCTTCCCTATGGTTCTTGTGCAGATTCCTATGTACAACGAAAAAGAGGTAACAAGATGATAAGCAACTATATTCTGTATCATCTCAGTGATTGGGTGCTGCTGTCTTTGGTAGGTTTGTGAGCAATCTATTGCAGCTGCTTGCAAAATCTCATGGCCAGCGAATCGTATAATAATTCAAGTGCTGGATGACTCCACAGATCCAGCTAGTAAGGTCCTTGTTTACACCTCTATAGACACTTTCTCTCTTCTCTTCTCAAGCCCTGTGTTTTAGATGGACGTGTGAAGTTTCTGTGTGTTGTTAATGTTTTGGTTTATGTGACAATAATGGAAGGAAACAGGAATTGGTGAAAGAGGAATGTGAGAGATGGTCGAAAGAAGGTGTCAACATAACATTTGAGATAAGAGATAACAGGAAAGGATACAAAGCTGGTGCGCTGAGAGAAGGAATGAAGCATAGCTATGTGAAGCAGTGTGACTATGTTGCTATCTTTGACGCTGATTTCCAGCCTGAGCCTGACTTCCTCTTCCGTACCGTTCCTTTCCTAATCCACAATCCCAAGTTAGCACTTGTTCAAGGCCGTTGGGAGTTTGGTAAGTGGTAACATTCCTTTGACACTATGCTAGTCATGTTAATGTCACATGCCTTAAGATTTTGCTTTTGCATCACAGTGAATGCTGGTCAATGCATGATGACGAGATTGCAGGAGATGTCTCTGAGTTACCACTTCATGGTAGAACAGCAAGTTGGATCGTCAACATTTGCCTTCTTTGGGTTTAATGGTAAAGGCATTCTCATTACTTTTCTCAATAAAGCTTTTGTCTTATTGTCTGAAAGCACTGCAGGAACGGCTGGTGTATGGAGAATCTCAGCGCTGAATGAGTCAGGTGGATGGAATGACCAGACAACAGTAGAAGACATGGACTTAGCTGTAAGAGCCACACTCAGAGGCTGGAAATTACTATACCTCGATGATCTCAAGGTAATAGAAGATTACTCTGTTTCTTTTGGCATCTTGAGTTATGCGTTTGTTTTACTTTTTTATCCGTTATAGGTGAAAAGTGAGTTACCTTGTTCCTTCAACGCTCTGCGTAGCCAGCAGCATAGATGGACTTGTGGCCCTGCAAATCTATTCAGGAAAATGGCTGGACAAATAATAAGAAGCGAGAATGTTTCTGTATGGAAGAAGTTGTATATGTTGTACAGCTTCTTCTTCATGCGCAAGATCGTGGCTCACATACTCAGCTTCTGCTTCTATTGTGTTATCTTGCCAGCTACTGTGTTGTTCCCTGAAGTCACAGTTCCTAAATGGGCTGCGTTTTATCTCCCTTCTTTGATCACTCTCCTCATCGCACTCGGTAGACTAAGGTCTCTCCTCTCTTAAAGCTCATGTAACTCACTGTCCTTTGATGTCTTCTTACGTTTTATCTTTTTGTTAAACAGATCAATCCACCTTTTAGCATTCTGGGTTCTGTTTGAGAATGCAATGTCGCTGCTTAGAACAAAGGCTCTGGTCATGGGCTTGTTTGAAACTGGAAGAGTTCAAGAATGGGTTGTGACAGAGAAATTAGGTGATGGTCTCAAGACGAAGCTGATTGCGCAAGAACCTAATGAACATCATGTCAGATTCAGAGATAGGTAACTAGACGTTCCTTGTTGGATTTGGTTTGAGCCTTAACCGAAGTTTGAGCTTAAACTGATCATGATTCTTGAAATGTGTTGCAGGGTGCATTTGATGGAGCTATTGGTTGGAGCGTACCTGTTGTTCTGCGGATGCTATGACATCATCTACGGGAAGAGGACACTGTTTTTGTACCTTCTGTTCCAGTCAATGGGCTTTTTCATTGTTGGTTTTGGATTTGTGGGCAAATATGTTGCTGCTGCTTCATCCTAACATAGATTTAGATCAAAGAGAGTCTCAATATGTTTCAAAAAGGTTTTTAGTTGTTGATCCCATATTGAGAAATATAATACCCCTTTTTTGTTTGGGATGTCTGAGAAAAAAAAAATTGATATATACACTTTTGTATTACCAGTTTGAGTGTTTGTAACACAAGGAATGATTTAAAAATAAAAAATAAACTGAGTTTCTTAGGCATTAATCTGTCTATATAGTGAAATGATCTAAAAGCATACTGTTCAAGATCCTTTTGTATGAACAAACCTCAAAAGAAAGACACTAAGAATTACAAAGTATAAAAATGCAAATCGTTGAAGCTTGCAGGTCAAGTTATCAAACATTCTCTTCCTCCATCGTCACTGTTTGATAATTACTACTACTGTCAACAAACCAACACACAAGAAACACAATTCTTCATCAAAAGATAACCATCACGAGACACAACAGAGGATAGATATCTTGTCGGAATCGGTTGTTACCTGGATTCGAAACCAACCAAAGTATTAGGGCGCATAGAATGAGAAGGAGAGGGATGAAATGGATAGCGTTCTCCGCGGATCTGATTCTTGATTTGTCCTTCTTCCCAGGGTAAGAGTTTGGGTCGTACCTAGGCAGAAGAAGCTGGACATCTTCTAAATCTGTGGAGCTTTGGATTCGAGGAGGAGACGGTGATGGTGAAGGAGGTTTCGCTGATAGTTGGTCGGAAACTACGGAGGCGCTCGCAGATCGACGCATGTCTTTCTTCTTACTTACTTTACGCGGTTTTCGGGTCTCAAGAAGAGGAGAAACGTCTATATATAGTTAATACGAATTGACTGTTTTACCCTTTGAAACTCAAGCTCACACGGTCTTCTCGGCTTGGAGTGTTTTTTTACCGACAAGCACTTTTATTAACTACTAAATGTTTTTTTATCAACTAAATGTGTGTGTGTTTTAAACTTTTAATTGACCATTTTGTGTTTCTTAATTAAAATCACTAGTTTTCAAATTTCTTTTATTACCTAAATATTTTTCACTTAAACTTTGACTTTGCACAAAAAAATATATACATTTTCAACAAGAAAGCGAAAAGTTATAAAATTTTGTTATCCATAATTTCCTCCAATTTGGATTCACTATATGGTTTATATTTAAGAACTACTGGAGTATAATTTATTTGGATGTTTCAAATGAGGTGGCCAAACGTGTAATGGGAAAAAGTCGATATTATAGATATATATATTGTCTGATATCTGACCCTAGTTCTTTTTTTTTTTTTTTATCAAAATCTGACCCTAGTTCAAGAGATAAGAAGGACCTAATTAATTAGCACATTGTTTATGACCCGACAAGAAGAAGAAGATAGAACGGTCAAAGACGTGTTTCACGAGAATAACATTTTCTCATGAAAATTCTAGTTTCTTTTAATGTTTTTTTCTTTTCTTTTTTTTTGTTAAAGTAAAACATTAGTTAAACTTCCAATTTGTGAGGACCCACTTCTCTTTCCAAAACAGTCGATTTCATGGAGTTGAGAGAGTCGATGATGAGATCACAAAGGCGATGAGGATCTGGGATCACATTGAGATCAACAGCTAGATTGATGACCACCTTCTTTACATAGCTTTGTATATGTATTGTCAGTGCCTTTTGTCAACAAAAAAAACATTAGTTTTCTACAAAATAAAATTAAGTATTCTAATCAATATGATTCTTGATGATATATTTTTTATGTGCGGTGCATAGTACCTGTGGTACACCACATGCACTTCCTGCAATATAAGATATCTCATGGTCGAAAAAACTGATTTCTTCATCTGGACCGACCACATTTGAAAATATTACTGATGTGCGACTAAAAATACTGTTTACCAGATTCTTGAGTGCCTGATTTTTCATACGCCCATCAGTTATATCAATGTAGTTTAAATGAGATTATTGTTTTAATTTTCTTTTGGTCTCACCTTCAACCCTAAAACTTCCATGGTGAACTTGAGTAATGCAAAAGAAAATATAGGTTCAAGAGAAAGTTTCTTCCGGTCCATAGTAAGTTTGGCTCGTCGGATGTATTCAAATGTATCGTCTTCTAACTTTATCCATAGAGGGAACAAAACATAGCCGATTGAGTTTCCCCATCTTGATTTTGTACCTTTCTCCATCATCTTAGCCAAATCCTGCAGGTGTTTATACATAATAGTATAAACACAACGTACGTGGTAGATATTGTAGCGGTTTTTAATATTTGATTAAGAAACGTTAAGATGTTTTTTCATACCTCAATATTTCTGTTTGGCCGTAGGTTAAAAAACACAACACCGTAGATACTGTTTTTTTCTAGGACCTTTCTTGACTTCGAGGGTTTATTTAAATCTGTAAAATTGCTGAAGTTGGTTTGATTGTATAAAATATTAACTAAATATGAAGAGCAATATAGGGGAGAAAGATATTGATTTACCAAATCTTTGACTCAAATATCGTGAAAGACCAGCTTGCACGGTTCCAAGAAGAACATCATTCACCGTCTAATTAAGAAAGAAAAGAGACAATAATATTTAACTAAACTCACTAAAGGACTATTATAAAAAGAAAATTAACTAAGCAACGTACCATATTCGTAGCATTCTTCACAACTTTCACATCATCCAAACTAAAAATTCGATGAATAAACTTATTAACGCTAATTGTAGCACCTGGTTTACCTTTAAGAGGTGTTGTATTGTTTCTAGTGAAGCATATGATAACCATGGACTTGAAAACTTCAACACAAGTGTGGAACAATAGCCTTACTATGAACCAAAACCAAGCAATTAAGGACCAGCAAATGTTCCTTGCATTGCTTTTCTTTGGGACTACGAAAGTAGGCAATGCATCCGGATCGCATGTTTTTCGAGTACAAGCGAGTAAAAGAGACATAAGAGACATTCCATCACCTAAAGAATGGTGAAACCTAGCCACAGCTACAGATCCAGCATATGATGTCTTCAGTTGCAGTAGGTGAAACTCCCATAAAGGTTTTGACTTATCCATTGGAGAAAGTGCCAGGTTTGTTGTATAGTCCTCTAGAAACTGATCAGGATTTTCAATGTTGGGATCTATATCTGGAACAATTACATGATCTTCCACTTTTACTGTTGTAGGAATCCACTTAGCTTTTCCTTTATGCTCTCCAAGACCCGTCTCCTACAAAAGCATATATAAGCAAAAATATTGTTCCAAGTGGCCAAAATACACCATCTTTTTCACTTTAGAAAATGTTTTACTCAACATTTCTTATCATTTGTTATCAGAGCTAGTTTTAGGCACAACATAAAACATTTGTGGTCTTACCCCTCAAATTTGTAAGAAATATTATACGCATGTTGTATAACCCTAAATTATCAAATTTTTGTTTGTTAAGATTGACCTAAAATGTTTATGTCTATTTAAATCTCAGATCGGACCATATACTAAGAACTAGGTGTTTTGCCCGCACTTGCGGGCTTAATAATTTTACTAATATCTATAAATAAATATATAATTAATTTATGTAAATTATAATAAATTATAGTTCATAGACTCAAAATATTTAATAATAAACTAAACAAATTATTTCTATATATAAAATTTTTCACCATCATATAAAACATTTAGTAATAAATTAATATCATTTTTAGACATAACAAAAAAGTATAAAAATTATCTTTAATAATGTTTGGATAACACAATATAAATTATCTATACATAAAGTCTTTGCGAATTGATTTTTCATAATTAACTATATATTAACAAATAGAATTAGTTTTCAACGTTAATAAAGACTTTATAACACAATATAAAAAATTTAGGTAAAGATAATTATCAAATTCACGAGATTCATTTTTTAATTTAGAATTAATTATATGTTAACAAATATTATTATTTTTCAAAATAAAGACTTTATCCCATAATATAAAAAATTAAAATAAGGATAATTATCAAATAAATGAAATTCGTTTTTAATTTATAATTAATTATATATTAACTAATATAATTGTTTTTCAAGGTTAATAAAGACTTTATAACCCAATATAAAATAGTTTTAGATAAAGATAAATCTAAAATCATTGAAATTCTTTTTTATTTATTTTTAAACGGTATTAATCGCTCTAATTTTCAACGTGAGAGTTACAAAGTAATCAGCAAATTCACTTAAATTTTATAATTGAAAAAATATTTTTAAGATAACAATCTAATACAAAAGAATTAACATATTTTCTAAAAAATATAATATTATTAACATAAATTCGTTTTTATTTTATAATAAATTATTAAAACATGAAAATAAGCAAAATAACCTAAAATCATGGAGAAGTTGACAACCAAGCAAATTTACTTCTCAAATAATGTTATATATGAAAAATATATTTTTAAGATAACAATCTAATACAAAAGAATTAACATATTTTCTAAAAATATAATATTATTAACATAAATTCGTTTTTATTATATAATAAATTATTAAAACATGAAAATAAGAAAACTAATCTAAAATCATGGAGAAGTTGACAACTAAGCAAATTTACTTCTCAAATAATGTTATAGATTTGGATCATTTTACAAATTCGTCCTTGCATAGCTCTCTTTTATTTTAGTATTGGTTATAAAGTAGTAACAACTTTATCATCTTACAAGAAAGAAAATAACATATGTTCATTCAACGTAAACGTCATATAAAATGAAACTGAGAGAATACAATTTTTCCATACAACTATGTGCTGAATAAATTATAAATTATTACCAGGATGCTAGAAAAGCGTGGATGGTTAATCAAAGTGTTCTTTAAACCTTCAACAATGGCATCTGCATTGCCCTCTGTTTTGCATCCCATGGTTATGATGTTGAAGCAGTCCTGACCGGGCAAACTGAATAGCCGTGAAAACGGGCTGAGCGGCTCTTCGCTGGGCATCACTTGCTCCGCCGCAGCCATCTCTCAGTTCTGATTATGTGTGCTCAGTTTTATATACCCGTACGTGGATATATAGCCTATGCTTAGTTTATATACGCGTGGTTCGCCTAGTGCTTCTTAGCTCTTAATGCAATTAAATGAACGTTGCTGAATATCTAACTACTTAATGATTGCTATAGATGAGTTTTACATTATGTTTATTTTGTCACCGGTATTGATCGGACTTGTGTTCCCTACTAATAAAATTTGTATTCAGTTTTCAAACATATAGGTGGCTAGTAGCCTGCACTTAATGTTTATTTCGGCTATCCTTTAATAATCCTACCATATTAAAGCACACATTTCAAATCCAAATAAATGTTCTAACTTCCAATCATTGATGCCTGGAATGACTTACAAAGCACACGAAGTAAAATTAGAAACTTCACGTTTTTATCTGCAGCCAACAACAATCACAGCTAAGATAATAACAAATCGTGATCCACAAAATCCAAAATTTTAACACACTGGATCAGAAGATATGAATAAGCTTTTGTATTTCAAAAACCAAAATCAGAACTAAATTTTGCATTACATTAAATATTTTTGGGAGATGTCTTACATTATAGACAAATGTAACCATTTAGAGTCTCCAGATCTAAACTTTTGAATCTAACATTTTACCAAAGACAAAATCTAATATTTTGAAACTTAGGTTCAGGCCGACTCTCTAAGTTATGTAATTCTATTGGATTTATATTGGACCAAATTTTATATAATATACATTTTGAAAGTATTTAAAATACATATATTTACACTACAAGAAAACTAAGCCTTTACTAGGAAATTTTACTAGGAAAAATGTTCCTCGTAAAATTACTAAGCCCTTACTTCGGGTTTACGAGGAAATCAAATTTCCTCGTAAGATCCTCGTAAAGTTACGAGAAAAAGGTTTCCTCGTAAGACCTTAGTAATTTTACGAGGAGCTTACGAGGAAAAAGTACAGTTCCTCGTAAAGCCGTAGTACTGCCTTTCCTCGTAAAATCATAGTAAAGTTTTACTACGAAATTAGGAGGAAACGGTTTTATTACTACGAAATTAGGAGGAACTGGATAGAAAATATCGAATTTAATTAAAAAACGTGTTTTGTACCTACTTTCCTAGAAATTTCCTAGTAAATGCTCAGATTCGAAAATTTCTATAAATACCACCTTATGTGATTCATTTGAAACACACCAATAAAAAAGTCAGCTATAAGCTTGATCAAACACAAAAAAATGTCCGGTCCGGGAAATATTTTCGAGTTGCGGCAGTGGATGTATTCACACAGAGATAATAACGGGAGGGCGACAAAAGAATTTCTGGAAGGGTTGGAGACGTTTATGCATCAAGCAGATTCTACACCACTCACGCAGGAAAGTGGTAAGATGTTCTGTCCTTGTCGGAAATGCTGCAATACCAAATTAGGCCCTCGTGAAAATGTTTGGAAGCATTTAATAAATAGAGGTTTCATGCCATATTATTATATTTGGTATCAACATGGAGAAGATGNAGAACCTAACTTAGATGCAAAAAAGTTTTACGAAATGTTAGAAGCTGCAAATGAGCCAATTTACAGTGGTTGTAGAGAAGGTCTGTCTAAATTGTCGTTGGCTGCTAGAATGATGAGTATTAAAACCGATCACAATCTACCTGAAAATTGTATGGATGCATGGGCAGACTTGTTTAAAGAGTATTTGCCAGAAGACAATATGTCTGCTGAATCTTATTATCAGATTCAGAAATTGGTATATAGTCTCGGGTTGCCCTCGGAGATGATAGACGTTTGCATCGACAACTGCATGATTTACTGGGGAGATGATGAGAAGTTAGAAGAATGTCGATTTTGTAAGAAGCCACGATTCAAACTGCAAGGTTGAGGGCGCAATAGGGTACCGTACCAAAGGATGTGGTACCTACCAATCACAGACATATTGAAAAGATTGTACCAATCTGAGGAGACTGCTGGAGGGATGAGATGGGACGCCGAGCATACTCAGACGGATGGAGAGATGACTCATCCATCAGATGCAAGAGCCTGGAAACATTTTAACAATGTACATCCACATTTCGCTAGCAATAGCCGGAATGTGTATCTTGGATTATGCACTGATGGATTTAGTCCATTTGGAATGTCTGGGAGACAATATTCATTGTGTCTGGTCTTTCTTACACCGTATAACCTGCCACCGGAGATGTGCATGCGACGAGAGTTTCTATTCATGAGCATATTAATACCTGGTCCAAAACATCCAAAAATATCTCTCGACGTTTTTCTACAACCACTGATAAAAGAGTTAAAACATTTGTGGTCAACAGGGGTGAAGACATATGATTGTTCAACGAAAACCAACTTTACGATGCGAGCGATGCTTTTGTGGACCATAAGTGACTTTCCTGCATATGGTATGTTGTCTGGGTGGACTACACATGGGAGATTAGCTTGTCCATATTGTAATGGAATGACAGATACGTTTCAGTTGAAGCATGGTAGGAAGACTAGTTGGTTCGATTGTCACCGTCGATTTCTTCCCATCCACCACCCATACCGAAGAAACAAGAAATTGTTCAGGCACAAAAGGGTTGTCAGAAACACTCCTCCTCCATATTTAACTGGAGAACAAATCGAAGCGCAAATCGATTACTACTGTGCTCTAGAAACAACTCCTCGTGGTGGGAATTGGCATGTTCCCAGTAATATGCCTGATTTTTATGGTGTTCAGCACAATTGGCACAAAAATAGTATATTTTGGGAATTGCCATATTGGAAAGATCTTCTTTTGCGCCACAACCTCGATGTGATGCATATAGAGAAGAACTTTTTTGAGAACATCATGAACACTATATTGAACGTCCCAGGGAAGACGAAAGACAACGTAAAATCGAGGTTAGACTTACGCGATATCTGCTCAAGGAGTGAGCTACATATAAAAAGCAATGGGCAAGTTCCAATTCCAATATTCAGACTGTCATCAGATAAAAAGTCTGCGTTGTTCAACTGGGTGGCTTCAGAAGTGAAGTTCCCTGATGGGTATGTTTCAAAAATCTCAAGATGTATTGAGAAAGGGCAAAAGTTCTCCGGGATGAAGAGCCATGATTGTCATGTCTTCATGCAGTGACTACTTCCCTTTGCGTTTGCAGAGCTACTACCGGCAAAAGTACATGAAGCACTTTCAGGTAATTAATTAATATAATACGATGATATGATTATACATATATATACTAATGTGGATAATGTTTGTTTTTGTAAATATACAGGAATTGGAGCATTTTTTAGGGATCTGAGCACCCGCACTCTTAAAGTGGAAGTTGTCCAACAACTTCATGAAAACATCCCTGTCTTAATCTGCAACTTGGAGAAAATATTTCCGCCTACTTTTTTCGACGTCATGGAACACCTAGTTGTCCACCTNTATACAGGAATTGGAGCATTTTTTAGGGATCTGAGCACCCGCACTCTTAAAGTGGAAGTTGTCCAACAACTTCATGAAAACATCCCTGTCTTAATCTGCAACTTGGAGAAAATATTTCCGCCTACTTTTTTCGACGTCATGGAACACCTAGTTGTCCACCTCCCGTATGAGGCATTACTTCGTGGACCTGTGCATTATGAATGGATGTATCAGTATGAAAGGGCCATGAAAACTTTGAAAGGAAAAGCTAAAAACCTAGCAAGAGTTGAAGGTTCTATTGTTGCGGGAAGTTTGACGGAAGAAACATCACATTTCACATCGTACTACTTTGCACCGAAAGTACGTACAAGGAAACGAGCTCCAAGAAGATATGATGATGGTGGTGTTGTGCCGACATATATGGAAGACGATGTTCCAGACATCTTTTGTCAAATTGGGCGATTGGGTCGGAAATTGAAAGAGGTTTGGTGGTCGAGTGATGAAGACGTCCTTAGTGCACACCTTTATATTCTTCTTAATTGCGAGCATCCATTGATTGCTTATTTTGAAAGGTAAATATATAAACATACACACTTATATATATAGATATACTTTCAATATTAAATATATAACATAACATATATGATTTTACAGCAAATTTGTGACTCAAGTCGAGGAAGCAATACCTGGTATATCGACACCTAAGTTAGACAAAAGGAAAGATCAACACTTTATCAAGTGGTTGAGGAAACAAGTATTTATTATTACTTAAATTTTATGCATACATGCCACAAAATAAGTCTAATATGTCTAGTTATATTACTTTTTGTTGCAGGTTGATTATGACGATCCTTAGTATCCCGCATGGTTTCGCGAATTACTTCAAGCTCCAGTTGCAAATGTCACTACATCATCGATGTATTTCACCAGAGGCTATACTTTTCATACCTATGACTATGGTAGACACCGGGTGACAAGTAATTATGGAATATGTGTGAAACGCGAAACAGATTTCTACGAGATCTTGCAGGAGATTTATGAAGTTCAATTCCCAGGTATGAGTTTGAAATGCGTTATCTTCAAGTGTGAGTGGTACGACCCCGTCGTCAACAGAGGTGTTCGGATTAACAAGAACGGTGTAGTTGACGTCAATGGTGGACGAAGGTGCAACAAATTCTTCTTTGACATACATACATGCATGTTCTGAGAACTAATAATTTCTCCGTTGTCTTAATTTTTGCAGGTACAACAAATTCGAGCCTTTCATATTAGCTTCCCAAGCAGATCAAGTTTGCTTCATTCCATACCCTCGGATTACTACAACGGGAATAAACTGGTTAGCTGTTATCAAAGTGACACCTCGAGAACGGATAATCGAGGGAGAAGAACCACCATTGCAAGAAGAAAACACCAATGAAATCGAGGAACCTGAAGCAGAAATTGATGACATCCTACTCATTGATCCGCATAATCGTGAATACGAAGATGTCCCTGATCACTCAATGGACGACGGTGTTGAGGACGAGTTTGCCGAAAATGATGATGTTTCTACGGATTATGAGAATGTATCCGAATGAATTATGTATGTTTTATAAGTTTGTTTAATCACAAAAACCAATTTCAATTATGTATGTTTTATAAGTT